TATTGTAATCTTATAGTATTAATATTGTAGTATTTAAAATGCAGTCTGAATAGATGCTCACCATTTGCGTAGCGATGTGACAGTAAAGTAGTTGCACACGTTACCGTGCGCGCTACTCATAGATTTATTTCCGCTTATAACACTGTCCCAGACAGTGCCGCCAGATTTGGAGCTTTTGATAACACGCCGTAGCACGGGAGAAGTCACACAAATGCGCGTCGCGTCCGTGAAAGAAAGAAGGATAAGGTAATGTCGAACAGTAGAAGGAAACAGACATATGACTATTTATCTCTTTTTCTCGCTCGACAAAAAGTTCTCGCTTGGCGCGACGATCTAATTCTGAATCTCAGAGTCTGAGGAGGAGCTTAATACTCGAAAAGTGTCGCATACAATATGTAATGAATGTCATTAGCTGTCACAGTTTTCGGCCAATTAATCTATCCCAATGATAAAATATTATTTTAAATATTTATTTTCATATTCATTTAAGGCCATAGTCAATGGATTGGATTCGTGATAGAAAGTTATATAGTAGGCCATTTGCTAATATTTGTATATTTTATTATTATTTCCCATTGCCTTTTCTTCTTTTTTATAATTTCTAGTTAAATATGCGTATTAGTTCAATTTCCGTATTAGTTTTAATATAGATTGCGTACACTGAAGAAGGTTCAAATTAAGGACTGAAATACGTATGTAATTAAATTAATATTGCTACAACCAAATCTTGTATGTGAATATGTGTGCGTGTACACGCGTATATATGTGTACGTGTCCGTGTACGTACGTGCGTACGTATGCGTATGAGTATGATCCAACTAACGAAGACAAAATCGGTAATTGTTTAACGAACTAAGATAAGATTGACATAATTCGATCTACTACATATGCCTGCATATGATCCGGCCTACTATGCATTCTCTGAGCGTATGAACTCGTTAGCCCAAACGAACTAATGAACCGATAATCCGGCTCGAGCCGTTGCGGTGTCTATTCATCTGACATTGTAAGACTGGTCTTCATAATCCCATATTTTGAATCCAGATATTATTGTTGCACTAAACACTTAATGTTTCAGCCTTCTTCATTTTTTTATATTAACTATTCTTTTGTTCAATTTTTACTTTTTAAGTTTGTTTATTTAATAACGCAGAAAATATTTTGCACGTAAATGTCAAGTAAAGCACGTGCAAAAATGACTCATACTGAGCAAGCAAAAACTTGTCCATGTGCATCGTCATAAAAGCATCAAATGGCTAGCAAAATTTGCGCGCAATACTCTCTTCATAAACCCCTAAAATAGGAGCTAGATCAACAAGTGATTTGGGTGCGTACCGCTTGCGTTAGTTCTTCTAAGTTTGTGTATGAAGTAATTGAGCGCGCGTTAGTCAATATAACTCATACAGCACAGTAATGTTGAATTAATATTAAAAAAATGTTGAATTGCAACAATGTTGAATTGCAACAATGTCAATATTGCTGTGTGTGCGCGCGCGCGCGTGTGTGCGTGCATGCGTGCGTGCGTGCGTGCGTGCGTGCGTGCGTGCGTGCGTGTGTGTGTGTGTGTGTATACATAGATACATACACACACAGAGTGTCCCACCACTATCACATTATATCTTAAGGACGGACTTCTGAGGTAATTTGAAAAAAAAATCCTAATGCAAAAATGTCAAAGCTATAATACTTTTCAAATTATAGACGATTAAAGTTGATCAATTCCCATACAGCATAAAACGTTGAAAAAACGTTGATGAGACGTTGCAACGTTGAAGAAAAAGTTGAAGTGCAAAGGTTTTTTCTGCATGAAATTTATGTTGATTTTTCAATGTTGTTTACAAGATATAGCTACAATGTTAAATATACAGGGTGAGTCATTTTAGTCTATGGATCCGAATATCTTCCAAATTACGGTATCTACAAAAAAATGGTTTAGATAAAAGTTGACCAGGACAGAGGGGGTCATTGAATTGTACCATTGGTTTTGACCTTGAGGTCAATTTTGAAGGTTATTTCAAGGTCACGATGGTTTTTTCTAATGGGACACCCTATTTTTGACTGCGGATTTCGAAAGAGCGGAAAATTTTACATCAAACTTGTCTTATGAAAAAATTGTTTTTGCGACCTTGGAAAGGTCAAAAATGAAGGTGAAATGTCTGAAAAACGATCTGGTGTACTTTTTCTGAAATGACGTGGTTTTCTGGGTAACACAAATGTGCATAATGCTTAAACAAAGTCAATGAATTGTAAAAGTGTAAATCAC